TAATAATAAAAAATACAATAATAAATTATAATAATAAGAATACAATAATAAATTATAATAATAAAAATACAATAATAAATTATAATAATAAAAATACAATAATAAATTATAATAGTAAAAAATCTCAGAAACGTGACTGGTAATGGTTGACTGAGTGTCATGCATTCTTCTTCTCCATAAGAACGAGCATGAAATACAGTTTTTGTTAACAGGTCTTATTTGCTGTTTCCCATTTGTGTATTTCATTTCACTGTTTTTCCTCATTTTTTCATATTCTGATGGTTATTTTACTGACGACTCTCATTAGTATATTTTAAGCAATACTAAACGTTTAGGTATTTTAACTTATTAGCATGCTTATGCAACAATTTGATTTAAATTCTATACTGCTGCTTTTATAGAGTACCCTTTTTTCCAGTTTCTAAAGTCACTTCAACTATCGGTTTTATTATGCATATAATATACATATACGAGAATGAGGAATAAGTAAAGCAAAGTAAAGTTATATAGGTTATTAAACAGCATGAGAAATGCATGGAAAGCTGGCGGCAAAAAATATTGAAAGCTAGTTAGTAAATGCTTTTAAATTGCTAAAAACGTTGAGAGTTCAGTTATTGCAATCATAAATTAGTTGGCTGATTGCATGTTACGTGATCTCCCTAGGTGCATGGGTAAAAAATTTTACTAAGTGCTTTCAAAAACCAGAAAATTTATAAACTTGTAAAAACATAAAGAGTTAAAATTCATCCATACAAAATATGTTGCCACTTAACTGCGAGTTGAAAAAATATAAATGTGGAATAGTTACTAATAATGTCGCAAGCGAAATCATTTTACGCTAAATGAGTTCCAAAATCCAAACGCTGATATTTATTTACAAATTAAAGAAATGTAGATTACGACAATTTGAATTATAAAATCCTATACCAATAAAAAATATCACTTCAAATAATATTTATGAAAACCATTTAGAATAATTTTTCGTTTCCATAACTGCAAAATATATCAGTGCTAAGCGGAAATAGTGAGAAATTAAAAATAATCACAGATGAATACCCAGTTAGCTTAAAAAATAAGACCTATATAGACGAGGTTGTTACACAGAAAAAAAATAATCCTAAAAATTTACCTTAATGAAACTCGTTTTAAAAAATGGACACATATATTATGAAGGAACGTGTCTTTCGTGGAAAGAGGAAACAGAACACCAATCTTTGACCACGATAAAAATTTCGATTGTAAGTGTACATTCACCAAAACTACAAGATATTTCTCCCGCCTTCTTGGCATGCCTTCGTGGTGTGGTGGTCTGCACGTTGGGCGCGTATTCCAGAGGTCCGCAGTTTAAAAAACGAGCAGAAACAAATGTTCAACAACGTTTCATCCAAAATTGGGAGAAATGCATAACCTGTTGTCATTCTTCGCGCAGTTCTTGAAAGCTATTCTGCATTTACTACACGCAACTAATACTTCTTTAGGTCTTCAGGATACCTAAGGATTGTCTGTAGTAACGCTTAAAAATATACAAACCTGGAATTAGAAATAGCTTACTGATATTTAGAATATAGACTCATGTCTTACTATTCAGATACTTTTCTTAGAAAATGTTTAAGAAATGTTGTTACATTCTTTCTGGAGAGTAAAATGTTGCTGATTTCTGCATCCAATTTGAAAATCGAGACGTAATGAGCTCTATTTTATACGTTTATTTAACATAAACGTATCATGTTCTAGATGCCCTCAGTTTCTCTAATAAATTTTGTAACGTTCATTGAACTGCCATTGTCCTAATGTGCTGCGTACGACGCCTTTTCTTTCTTTTTTTTTTTTTTTTTTTGTTTTCTTTTTCTCTCTCCTCCCTTTTGCATGCTCTGCTCAAAACATGGAAATATTTGGATTGAATCCAGTATCAGCGTTCAGCTGGGTATAAAAGGTTTATGTTTGTCTTGCCCCCCCCTTTTTTTTTTTTTTTTTTTTCATTTCAGTCGCAATCGCAATTCGCGCATGAAAATTAATCAGACTTTCTCTTTAAGATTTCGAAACTAATAACGAAAGTAACTGCGATATCTAACTAGGGTAATGTTATTGTTTTATAAAGTAAATTACATAAAATCTCTAGATTGATTAAAAATATGTTTAATATTACCGGACATAAATGAAATGGCTTACAAGTTACACTGTCACTAACGTGCCGCCTAGACCGTCACCATCGAGATAGATAAGGCCTGCGCGCTGAGTTACTACGTCACTGCTAGGGGACCGGTCTTCGCGCAGTTTAGCTTCCTTGCTAAACACCCGTTTTTCTAAACTTATTCTAAGAAATTGGTATCTCATACTATAAAATCAGTCTAAAACAAAATTACAAGCGGCAATATAATGTTTTACAAAGCTTATACGAAATATGAAATATTTTCATTTTCTTTTGTTGGTATTTATTTTCAAAACAAAATTATTTGAGAATGGTGTGGTGCTTTTAAAAGCAAATCATTTCTTTGAAGAAAAATTGGTTTTAAAATTCAAGTAGCTAAAATTTTTACTTTGATTTTTCTGCACTGTCTTTGTGTCTCTCGTTGATTCTCATCACCGCATCAATTTTTTTTTGTTTCACCCACTACTTTAACAAAATGTTTGCCAGTGGGAACACATGTTTATCTCTCATTCTAAAAATTATTTCTTACTTACATATTGTATGTTAATCTGTATTACAGTTAATGTTTTCCTCGACAGAATCTGTAGTTAAATTGAGATAATGTTTATTACATAGCTCTGAAGACTATCAATATTAAAATTCCAAATAAGATAGGAAAAAAAGTTTTTTAAATAAAGTTATACACAATTTTTTGAAAATATTTTAAAAATATACGAAATACTTAAAAAACTTTTAGAAACTGAAATTTCTTGCAAATATTTACATCATACCTATTAACTATAAGCGTTACCTCTGTTCTGAAAATATTTTTGCTATTAATATCCACATGAAAAGAAAATATAAATCCTAACATCATGTTCAAAAACTTTCTGTATAATGTAAGCAATTTTTAAACTTAACTTACATAGCTTTTGGTGGTGCCACGTACTCAAATTAAAGACTGTAATTTAAAAGATAATTAAAAAAAATTGTTTTTAAAATTGCATTGAATTGAAATACAATGAAAAAAAAGTATGTCTACATATGAATTCAATTACTACTGCTTCTTCAATAACTGTACATTTTTAAAAATTTCATTTTGCAGTTTCGCAATTTAATTACCTTAATATGAATCTTACATACATTACTTTAGAAACTTTTCTATCATTCTCAGAAAGATTTATATTGCATAACAAATTTTAAATAAACTGATTGCATGATAATAACATATATAAAAGTGAACAGAAGCTATATTAGCTAAACATATGCATTTAAGTTTCATCATGATAAAATGATATTTAATGATTTGCAAAAAACATTGATATTTAAATTTAAGAACACAGTACTCTGCCAAGAATCAAATTTACTCTGCATTTGATATTCTACATATTATGTAATGAAATAAGTGTAATGCTTTTAACCCCTTAGGACAGTTATTTCATATAAAATTAGTTTCCAATTAAAATAAATAATCATAAATTTTGCTGACAATTTTTATATTACTAGTGTTAGTAATTATTACAAGGGATGATGCTTCAGATGTCAAAAGTAAACATAAATTCAATTCTTAAAACATAATGAATAAAAAATTACAACTTATAAAAGCCAACAAAAAGTTTGCTGAGGGTCCCTTAACCGTGACGTCACAAGCCAGTTTCGTTTCAGAGCGCAGGCCTTATTTATCTCGATGGTGACGCCTAGACGGGAAAGTGGTTAGTTGCTCTGACTACCATACCGATGGGCTCGGATTAGAATCCCGAGAAGGCATGGATGTAACTTGCCTTCATAGGAGGTAATGGAGGCCGTCTATTACGAGCCTCCATAATAAAATGACCATCACTTCTGGGCTCAATAGTGGCCAAAGCCTATGAAGGGTATGCCCGGCATTAAAAGAAAAAGGTGTAACTAATGTAAAATCCAATATTTTCTGTAAAGGTTTTATACATAATAATCATTCTTGCAACAGTTTATTTCCCTCTTCTATCTACCTCTCTCTTTTCTGTCTTAAAAAATAACAACTGAACAATAAAACAGCTATTATTAGATTTCTGTTAATTTTCGTAAAAGAAAATTTATATGGTGGTCAATAATGTTTTTTTATAAACATATAAAGTTTACGGAAAAAATTTAAATTAAAATTTTATGTCTTAAAATTATCCAATTGCAAATATTGAAATTTCACAAACTCTATACCTAATTTAATTTTAGATTGCTGCAGAAGTAAATCTTATTTAATATGAATCTAGTTTATTTGTCTGTTTTGAGCAAAATCAAAATTCTATAAACATACATATGCATTTAATATGACGCATATAAGTACAACGTACGTGTGTGCTGGGAACGCAAAAAATAATCATTTGCTTCAGAAATTTGTATCTATAATTTATTTTAAAACAAAATTCCTAAGAGTATTTCAAGAGAAATTTTAAAAATCCGAATATATTATAATGCTTTGAAGTTTACTATTGAGTTTACAGATTTATTTTGAAGTTTACAGATTGATATATTATGTCAAAATCCTTCTTCATAAAAATATTTTCTCATAGAACTCTTACGAAAGAGTTCACTGCAGCATCACAGAATTCTTTGTACAGGTTTATTGAAAATATTTGCTCGCACTTCATATGAGCAGAACTTCGCACCTATTGGACGAGCAGCAATTTGATATGCACATGAGAAAGGAAGTCTCCGTAATGTCACCAAAATTTTGGCGCAAAATATGTCATTTTTATCTTAACTAAGCGGGCTGGATCACTTGCAGCGGTTCTAATGAGCTGGTATTCTTTAGTTGGAGAATTAGATCAACGGATCTTACTCCAATGCGACATTTTGCCTTGGAAATTAATTCATATGACTTCTTGGTTGATCTCAATGTTTTTTTTTTTTTTTTTTTTTTTTTTTTTTTTTTTTTTTTTTTTTTTACGGTGGAAGATATAACAAATGATATGCTGGAGAATTTATTGTTTTGATGTTCGAGTAAGTGAAAGAAGTTACATAAAAAAACCCTTAGGAAAATTTTCATTTTATTTCATATGTTACTCTTCTATGCTTGTCAATTTCAAAAATAAATCATTAAAACTGGGTCAGTCGTTTTGGATAATCCTATATTGTAAATAGACACGGGAAAAATTAAAAGTTTTATAACTTGAAGAAATTTGATAAATGCCTTATATGACAGATGTTCTTGAATGCTTGATATTAACTTTCAAATATCAGACATAAGTCGTTGACAAATTCTTATTCTTGTCTAAATAGGTTTAATTCATCATACTTTCGTTAAGGGGTAGAAACACAAACATTGCTCTTATTTCAGTAAATGAAAAGGAAATTTGGCTCTTTGGATGTAGAGCTTAAGAAGCTAAATTATTCGTTCTTTTCCTGTTTTTTCATCAACACTACTAGGCGCGCAGTGGAAAATACTGCATTACTCCTATTAAATTTCCTTTCTGAAATCGGAAAAACATAATCTTCAGCAGCAGATTGATATATTATGTCAAAATCTTTGAAATAGAGCTCAGGAAATGGTGAATCTATAAATAACAGCACAGCCTCTTCTTTCATTGTTTCAGCAACACTCTATGGAGAGGGAAAAAAATCAATTATAAATCATATTTTTTCATGTTTATTACAAATATTATTTATAATATTTTTACTAGTCATAACCTTGAGTTTCACATTATAAAATCTCAAACATAATACATGAGTAAAATTCTCTCCAATTTGTAATTTTTAAAATCTGCGCTGATTTCTATACTGCAACTTGTCAGCATGAAACAACTCAGCGTTACTCATAGCGTCACTTTAACGGGATTGTTAGGAATGTTGTAAGATTTCCTTTATCGAAATTTTACTATTTTCTCTTTCCTTCAAAATTTCATAAAATATTGATTTGAGGATTATATTGGGTTGAAGTAATTCGATTGCTACAGACAGCTCCAAATGGAGAATGGAGAAAGAAAATATTGCTACATTATAAGGTATTTTCTCCCTCCTTTCTGCATTCCTTCGTGGTGTAAAAGTAGCACGCTCGGCGCGTATTCGAGAGGTCCAGGTTCGAGTCCCGGGGGGGCATTGCTCATTTTTCATGCCTCCTACTTCAAAAAAGTCTAGTGACTCTACAGTGGCACCCCCCCCCAAAAAAAGTGGTGGATGATGATTCTTTACTACCAGGTTTCGGCGATTGGATCTCCTAATCCCCATCCGCCCTTTAAAAGGGTGAGTATATAAGGTATTTTCTCCCTCGCTTCTGCATCATGCCTTAGTGGTGTAACGGTAGCACACCAGGCGCGTCTTCGATTGGTTCAGGTTCGAGTCTCGGAGAGGGCGTTGCTCATTTTTCACGTCTCCCACTTATCAAAAAGACCTAACGACTCTACAATATAACTTTAATTATTAACACTGAATCATCATTTTATACAACTCCTGTTTGTCTTTTTAGTCAGTTTTCCAATTCCCTTTCCCATTAATTCTTCCTTTTTGCTGCAAAAATACTTAGTTATTACAACTTCGTTCTCCAGTTTACTGTGAACATTTTTGGCAACAAAAAAATACTGCGGTGACTTAAAAACAAGTGATAAACTGGAGAGGCAATATCTGGATTCTTAAGCACATGAATAAGAATTTCCCTTTAAGTCGTCCATTCGTCGAGTCGCTATTACAGTATGCAAATTAGTGTTATCGTACTGAAGAATCTCTTCAGGTCTGTAGATCAATACACTTCATTTGATGGTTACAGCCCGTTTTAAATTATTTTACTGATAATACAGATGTCTGTATTAATGTTTGCCTTTTTTATAACTGTTTAAGCTAAATCATGCCATTTATATCCCACCATATGCAGAGCAAAACCATCTCTGGTTGCGATTCTGACTTCTCTGTAAGACTTGGCTTCTCCTTCGGACTCAGTCAGTTTCAAATAACATGCACATAAAAAAATCCTTTTTTCATTTGCAGTCCCAACATGCCTTAATAAAGGTTCCGTTTCATGTGTTGAGAGAAAAAATATGCAAATCGCTATTCTGATAGCTCTGTGCCATGAATTCACGTGGAACATAAACACTAGATCTAGAAAATTTCCTTGATCATTTCAAGTGATACTGCCAATGACTCAACAGATTGACTCTCTTCCATAATTTCTTTACTTGTGGTACTTGGTCTGGTGGAATGTCTCAACATATCTTCTTCCACCTTCCTTGGTCGCCTATTTCTAGGCTTGTTCTCAAATTTTAAATGTTCCCTTTGGGATTTCTTAACACTGACATTCACTTGTATCATGTGGGTTCAGCGAAAAAATATTCTATTTGCTTCTGCAGCATTTCCATGTAAGTGAAATTCAGAAAGCATAACATGGAGAATATGCAGATTATCACAGAACGACATCTACATATGAACGAAAATTAATTAATTATTGATTCAGTGAAGTCGAGGAAGAAATGGTGTTCATGGTTTTAATAATATAATAAAATTTCGATCACAGGATCATTTTAATATAAAAATCTTGCATTACTTTTGGAGGAACCTAATATTATACGATTACTACGTATTTACGTAGTTTTCAATTCATCCTTTAGTTTTATTGATGAAATGCAGGATGATTCCATATATACCTATTTTTTCGTGCTATTTTTTCGTTCGGATGCACATTTTCACCTTATGGAGATTCAATTCGCAGATTCTGCAACCGAGCTGGCTGCATGATGGTTTTCGTGATTTTCTCCATGTTTAAAGGAAAAACGAGCTAGTTTTCATTAGACAGTCTCTCACGAAACCATCTCTTCTCTTAGGCAGATACCCCTAAAGAGCTTTGGAAGAAATCAAATAATCCAATTCAATCCAGATCAAATTTGGCAGTAATAATTCAATTTTTATTAAGTTTAATTTATTAATTTTATAATTAACTAAATTATTTATTTACTTTACAATTAACAAATTATTAATTAATTAATCAATTAATTAATTTTATTATTTAATTGTTTCATCATTACTTACTGTAATAGCTTTAGTCTTTCATTAACAAAATTTGCAGAAAAATGCGGTTAGGGGAAAGATTTGAAATGTAGCTAGCGAAAATGGAGTATGTCTTCATCTGTTCATTTTGAATTGCCATTTCTAGTTTTGCTTTCCAAACTTCTGCATATTGGCACAATGGCAGTTTTTGCAACCCCTGCAATAGCATTTAATTTGTAGGTCTTAATTTTAATAGCTATTACTCTGAAATTTATAGATCTTACTCTGTTATGGTATTATTTTAAAACAAGTCAATTAGGAAATATGTTCTTTCTCTCTCTCTTTTTTTTTTTCGCCTTTTTCTGGAACAGTTTGTATTTTTCCTTTTAATTTCCAGACCTTTCTATTTGTAGTTTATTTGCACAATATGATATTTGATTTTTTCTTCCTGAACCAGGAAAAATCTCTGAATTAAATATTTTCAAATTATGTTATATTCATATTCATTCATATACACTGACGAGATAAAACATTATGACCATGCCCACATTTTTCAATGAACTCGTCTGATTGGCGTCTGACTGAACTGACTGGCACATGATTAAGTGGGAATGGTATTTAACTGCTTCTAGAGAAGGTAAAGAATCATTCTTGCACTTACTTTTGCCAGTGATGGGAAAGGCTGCTCATCTAAACGAATTTCATAGAGGGCAGATTGTAATGGCGCGAAGACTCGGAACGAGTATCTCCAAAATTGCACGAATGGCAGGTTGTTCACGATCTTCCGTTGTTAGTATTCATGCAACGTGGATAAATGACCGTGAAACCAGCAGTGAACGCTAAGGTGATGGACGTCCACGCGTCATCAAAGAAAAAGGACCTTGGAGACTATCCCGCTTAGTACAGCAAAAGTGGCGACAGACAGTGGCTCAGCTGACAGCCCTGTACAATGCAGGTCCAAGTGCAAGTATTTCGGAACACACAGTTCAGCGCACACAAATGGATACGGGACTGGGCAACAGACTTTCCACTCATAAACCCCTGTTGAATAAGCGTCATTGTGAACTAGGTCTACAGTGGGCTCCCGAACATCGAGACTGAACCATGGATAAGTGGAAGACAGTTGCCTGGTCAGATGAATCACGATTTCTCACTCATCACGTCGATGATTGTGTCAAGGTATGCCGTCTTCCAGGCGAACAGTTGCTCCCCCTCCCGTACAGCAGGTCATACACAGGCTGGTGGTGGCGGTATTATGCTTTAGGCGACGTTTTCATGGACGGCTCTGAAATCCTTAGTTGTGGTACAACAGACCGCGAAAGCTGTGGACTATTTGAACATAACCGCAGATCAATTGCACCCTTACATGACGTCTGTCTTCCCAACTGGAAATGAAATCTTCCAGCACTACAATGATCCATGTCACGAGGCTAGAACTGTGTTGGAGTGGTTCGAGGAGCATAAAGATGAATTCCAGTGGCCACCTAACTCGCCGGATCTTAACCCGATAGAGCACACTGGAATGTCACGAAGCGGTAGCTCAGAGCTCAAACATCACCATGTTGGAATATCTCGACTTTGCATGACCGTTGCTTAGACATTTGATACAACCTCTCTCCAGACATGTACTAAGAACTTGTGACATCTATGTCAAGGCGAAAGGCCAAAGGTCGCGCAACGCGTTATTGAATAGGTGGTCATAATGTTTTGGCTCTTTAGTGTATATAGAGAGAGTGATTCGCAACCTCGTTTACAAACTTCTGGAAGAGATAGGTTACTCAAAGACGAATCGGGATCGAATATCATCGAATTGTCGGAAACGCTATCATTGCGCGTATGTTTCCAGAGAACACGAGCAATGAAAGACCAAAACAAAAATTAAGAACACTATTTTAGTCATCAAAACATACTAATTATGATTTTAAGTGAGGTCAGAGAAAGTATTAGAAGTTTCGGCCACCATATGCGACATAAGTCTGACATCGGCACCTCGTGGAATCATGGACGTTTTGAAATGTTCCGGGCGTCAAGCAAATAAGTTCGACAAGATCCTCCTCACTTTCCATGGTTGTATTATACACAAGACCATTCACAGAACCCCAGAAAAAAATCTAGAGCTGTATTGGTTCATCAATAACTCTGTCCATTACGTTACGAGTGAGTTTCCGATTTTACATTACTATCTGATACCGATTCATTTTTGAGTAACCTGCTTCTCCCAGAAGTTCTTATACGCAATAATGAACCACCCTGCATAAATATACGCACACACATATATGCAAGTTAAGCAGTTTTGTGAAAAAAAATATTTCCTTACGATATTTTTTCCAAACATAAGTACTTGTTCGTAAATAACCCAATTGTTTTCTTTTCGCAACCTTTTTTTTAATCCATTTTTCTTTAGAAACCAAAAATACTGCGGTGAAGAATTACTACAAATTTGGGCGTTTCGTTGCAAAGTACAACATGGATACAAAAATAAAGACCGGGTAAGGACTTTGTGGACGTGCATAAAATCACACTGCTTTTAATCGAAACGGGTAGCCATATTTCCGACTCTTCCGCATTTTACAGTGACTATTTTTTTTTTTCACATTTGAGTATATAGGTGCTCAATCAAATGGATTCGCAATAGTTAACCTTCTTTGTATTAGTTGATTTTTCCTATTTAACAGTAAAATTATTATCTCATATTAGCGAGAAAGTAAACAGTAAGCCAAAGATATATTTCCTGATCATTCAAATAAATAATTCAAATTAAAAAAATCGGAACAAAATGCTTACATTTTGTAACTAAACTAAACTGTAACGAATTAAAATATTTGGAAATAAGCAGAAAAAGGTTAGAATGAATATTTCAAAGGGAAAAAAGTCCGCGTAAGTAGTCGTTTAAGGAAGGTAAAATTATAAGGTATTTCTCCCACCTTCTTGGCGTGCCTTCGTGGTGTGGTGGTCTGCACACTGGGCCGGTATTCCAGAGGTCCGCGGTTCGATTCCCGGCGAAGGTGTTGCTAATTTTCCATCTCTCCGACCTCGAAATAACCTAATGTCTCTACAAAATCTTCAACTGCAAATATAAAATGTAACTAGAATCACTGATATAAATCAAATCATTTCATATTTTAACAGCATAGTTAACATAATCCTTTCTAACATCACTGTTTGTGAACAATACCAAATAAATATGGTATTATGATGTAGCTCTGCATAATTACAGTGGCATACTTTTTCAGGTGACTTGCAGATTAGAATTAATTACCCTTAATTGGGAATGTAGTCAGAAACCTAACATCACACAAAAATTGACAGTACAGTCGGAAACAAGAACACTAGCGTGTTGATTATTTTCTTCATTTTGCCGTTTAACCTTCAAGTTTAATTCATGACTTGCGAATTGTGCGTTCTATATATAACCAAAAGGCATCGCGTAATTAATGATTACAGAATAAGAAGAGAAAAATACAGCTTTCAAAAAATTTTATTTCTATTCCATACTTAAAGCCTCTATAAAATATTATTAATTAGTATGAGTAAAACGGTGAAAATCTAAACCATAAAATAAATTCAATTTCTTTCGGGTTTTTATTCCTCTTTCTTATTCATGAGAGCACTTCTACGATTATAAAAAGATACATCGGGAAACTGCACAATGAGAACGTGCTTTTTCCAAAACTCAGTCGGACCGAGGTTTCTGTATCTTCCGGTGTGGTGCTCTTATAAAAATTCTCATCCAGTTAACATTTTTGTCAAAAGATGCTTGAAAATCAGGATCATTCTGCTGTCATACAGATTATTTTTAGCTGGCAAAAGGAAAAGAAATCTGGAGTAAAATAATTTACTAATTTTTAATTTTCCTCGCTTAGTATCACCTTCTTATTTTAGGCTAATATTTTACTAATCATTCGAGGTTTAATAATGACAAACACAACTTTTCAGATTTCTGGCCTTTGCATTGATTTACTTCATTTTATTAAATAATTATGAGCTGGCTTAAACAGCACGTTCTACAGATTTTAAATAGAATAATGACTATGCATAAATAATATACACCGTATCCACAAAAGTGCTTACCCGGCCTTAATTTTGGAAACCGTTGGTTGTAGATATATGTTTATAATAACAGATGTGTATTAAAATTACGAAATCCAACTTATTATAAGCTGCCCCTGTCCTAATAATTAAGTTTCGAAGATTGTTACTCCCCTTATATAAAATAAAACATAAAAAATGTGATTCTCATACGACAAAAATTTACAGGGATATTTAATTTCATAATTTCCGATTTTTGACATCATTTTTAATTTCCATTGAGGTGTCAGTTAATATATGAATTAAAATAATTCGAGGCTGATTTATCTCCTTAAATACCATTCATTTATATTATTTTGCGATATACTAGGGTCTTTTATTTATAATTTTGTAATATTTAGCATGCCAAAAGAATTTTCATTCAAGTAATTTATAATATTCTCATGAAATTTTATTGCTTTAGAAACATAATCTAGTAATTCTAAAAAATTCATTAAAGTACAAATATTTTCCATTTTTAATTAATTCAAATAATATTACAGGTCGGGCAATGTGCTAACACTGAAACCTGCCACTGTTTTCTTGAATACGGATTCTGTATGATTCTGTGAATAAGATCTCTATTTTGAAAAAATTAAATTTATTCATCAATGCTTTTAACAATAATCTGCATAGAAATGCTTATCTCTTAATTTCTTAACAACGGAAACCTTTTTCTAAACCGATGTTTTACTTTTAGGTGCGACGAAATGCAAACATTTCACTCTTCAATTTGCTTACGCCCTCTCAATATGATCTCCGGTTTTTTAATGTCAAATACTTGTATCTTGTTCAGCTTTTGCTGTACGTGAGTGGCCCTTTTTTTTGTTAATTTTTTATACAGAATACAAAATTTTCTTAAACATAAGCATAGGACCAGAGGAACGTGTAAAAGCTTAAATTTCGTAAATTGTACATAATGAATTTCTTTAAATTTAAAACTGCCAAAGCATGAATATTTCTATCATCTAAAATATATTTGTAACTGGAAGTATATGACTATGGCCAAAGAACCGGAAGTCATGGAATGGAAATCAAGTTAAGGACGTTTATGGATAATGGTGCATATTTTCGTCTTCGTATTCAAATTATCTTCAAATGAAAAAAATTATCATGAACGAAATTATTGTGCGATTTGTATTTTATACATCACTGCAACTTACATAAATTGTTCATAAGTAATTCGTAAATTACAATAAATTTTTTCAATTAAATAAAGCAAACAATATCTTGCTAAACGGAGCAGTATCCTTTATGAAACTATACGAATATTTAATAATATATTTAATAATAATAATACGTATTATGTTCTATAGTCATATGAAAAAAAATCATATTTCGAAAAGAAATAAATGTATTTACTGGCTCTGTTTCTTTCGAGAAATTTGCCAAGATAATAATTTGCCTCTTATTCAGAATAGTTGCTTCTAACGATAATTGAGAATTTCAGTTTGTTCCTGGAAGCGCTTTAGACGTTTCATCTGTTCTCATAATTTACATGAATGCCAGTAGAAAATATAAATTCGTTAAAAGTACTAGCTAAGTAAATATAGGATTTAGCACGAGCGAAAAGCAGAATAGCGAAACAGATTATTCCTACTCTCAAGTGTATGCGACAAAGAACTTTTTTTGTAATTAGACAGAAACAACCTAGGACTGATAATGGTTTTACAGAATAACTCTGTGCATTTTTATTTAGACAGGCACACAGAATCTCTTTCCTTCAAATTACAGAAATAATCTGTACCGAAAGATTTTGTGAAATTTTGCTCTTTGACGAAGATAGACTCCATGCCTCTGTTCAGAGCTTTTCTATAAAAACATCAGCTGTTGCCATTATATTTGTTTCTATAAAATCGTCAACTAATCAGCCAAGTTAATTCTGAGTAACTTTAAATATGATAGTGGCTTTCATCTCTTATTAATATTTGCAAAGAATCTTCTTTACACTTAAGAAAAATTTAGTATGACAGAAAATATTCACTTATTTATTACTATACCTTTTAAGCACACTTACCTTGATCAGAGATTTGCTTGTATCGAGAGGCATAATTGATACTAATTTCTGCATTATTATAATATCAGCTTCACTCAGTGCTGTAAAATACTTTAAATCTTGCGACAAATTTCCAGGCAAATCCACTCTCATATAGACCGTTGTAACATCAGTTTCTTTGAAGAGATTGCTTGCATTTCCGAAATTTCTTTCTCGTGTGAGGAATTCTGCAATATTGAAACAAGATGACCAACGTTTTGCTGAATCGACTAAAGTCAAGTTTAGAGTGATACACACCGTGAGTTCGTATAAGGCACTACAGAAACCAATCACATCACTACCTGGTCCGGCACCTAAGCTTATGACATTTATATCAGGAAAATTTAAACAACATTTTAGCGCTTCACAGTTATCTATTGCTTCCAGCACTCTGTTTCTGGCCAAACCAGCATGAAGGGAGGAGTAGCGATGAATGTATCCGCATACGTTTTCTGCGGAACTGAGATCTATATTTTCGAATCTACCTCCCTTGCTATAACGGAAAGAAGCGATAATATTGTCTATTGCCTGCTGTATATCAGTTTCTGAAATGTCAGATACTTTACAAATATTATCAAAAGCTTCCCAGAACAGTCGAAGAAAATTAATTTCTTCTTCTTCATTTCGGTTAAGCTTTGCTCGCTTACACTCGCTTATAATATCAGTTTGACTTAGTTGTCTTACACGCTTTGAAGAAAGGGTTTGTGATGAGTCCATAGTCATTATCTATTTATACTTATTAGTAAAAACGAGAGCACTGCTGATACATAACATTATTTTTTGTCGTATTTCGAAGCATTGCAAAGTGTTAAATGAAAACATGAGTCGCAATAGAAAGCCTTGATGCCAAAACCTCGCATACGTATAGAGATTAGATAAACTATTTTTTTATCGATAAACACGATTTCGTTTCTTCTGCACCTTCCAGCCAGTTCCGTCTTCACACTAATCGACAATGTTTTCATACGTGGACGAGATAAGCTGATTTAAAGCTATCAGAAAGGGAAATATAGATTTTTTAAGAAAAGGGATTTTTCTTCCCTCACTTTCACTTTTTTTTTTTTTTTTTTTTGTGTGTGTGTGTGTGTATATCGCGTGTTAATTCTGGTATTTTGCAAAACCTGAACAAATCAGTATGCTCGTGCTTACACCTTTAGACTGAACGCTTTTCAAAATAGTGAATGCTAATGTCATGTTACAGATGAGGGAAATCTTGGAGAAATGAATACTTATCTAATATGTACTAGAATTTTTAGTCCAAAGGGGCATTGTCCCTGAAGGACTACTGTTTTCGTTTTGCGATTTTGCGTTGAATCACTATAAATGTCTGTTTCACTTTTATAAGTGTTGCCACTAAATGTTAGAGCCCTGCACTATGTTTGAAGAAGTTAAATAATGAAAAATCTGCATAAATGTATGTCTATTTCTCGCACTGTGATAAAACAACGGTACATAGAACCATCGAATTTTGAATGACGTAATCCTCCTACTAATATCGGCATGTGGAAGATCAAATTTGAAATTTGGAATTTGTTTTATGATCGATTTCATATTTTGTAAAACTTTAACGAATTTTTGAATAACAAACTCAACGATTTAAAAGCGAGCAATAGCAACACTCTACGGGGAAAAAAAACACCTTTTTATCTCCAGCGCGAGGGACTGTGTATCGCAAATTCTAAATATATGCTCATTTAAAAATTATTTTGCGACATTGCTATTGAACTGAATTTTATGGTTTAAGTGCAAAGAACGTGATATTTAATAAATAAAGGTAACACACAAAACGTTAAAAAAACGCCCCTTTGGACGTAATTTAAAATCTGGGTTATAGAAAATACTACTATATATGTAAAGAAAATAAAGAATATATAAAAGATAACATTTAAATTAGGAGCGTAAATTAATTTTCCTTCTCTATTCTAAAAATAGCAATCTCTATTTGCACTGCGTCATTTCGAGACTAATATATGTCATATGACTCTTACATAGTTCTGAGGATGTAAATTGAACCAAAAATCAAACAGAAAATAATAATTTTACAGCAGAATTAATTATCCAATCAAAATGCATTGAGAACCAAAACTAACTCAGTTGGAATTAAGATTTCACACTGAACTTGCTCGCTACTCTTCGACCTAGCTGCACTGCTGTCTGGTGCTTCCTTCTTGCTGCAAAGTTATCAAAAATGTAAACATCTTGAAATAGGCCCAAATAATGTGCCAAGTTGTTTGTGGCCGCAATATGTTTACTGAAAATAAAATGAAGATTTAATGTGCCTCGGCTGCCAGTCTCTTATTCATTGTGGATCGGCATTTTCAGTATTCTTCGTGTTCAATACGGATCTACTTCTACTCCTAACAAAATTCCTACGTCTTTTCCTCTGTTTTATCACAATTGAACATGTAAGAAAAATAAAGAATATGTAAAAGATTAAATTTAAATTAGCAGCGTAAATTAATTTCTCTTCTCTATTCTAAAAATAGTAATCTCTATTTGCATTACTAGGCTGATATTTTCTTGCTTGAACTTCATATCCCAGGAAATTTATCTTTTCTTTAGCAAATTTACACTTAGATTGTTTAAATTTTATATTTCCTTTTTCAGCTATGTCAAATAGTATTATATTAAGATGTTTTAGATGTTCGTCAAAATTTGGGGAAAATACTATAATATCATCAAAATAATTTAAGGCAAACTGAATCTGATATTTGTTTAAAATTTGTCTACGCGCTCTTTGGAAAACAGCTGGAGAATATTTCAACCAAAAGGTAATCTATTGAATTCACAAAAGCCAAAATTTGTGTTAAATGCTTATTTTTCTGTATCTTTTTCATTTAATTTCATGTGCCAATAACCAGATGCTAAGTCTAATGTGGAAAAGATTTTTGCATTCGTTAACTGATCTACTAATACGGAGGTTCAGAATCTGTTTTAGTAATTTGGTTAACTTTTCAATACACAACCTGGTTTTTGGCTTTTCATCCCTTTTGTAAGCTAAAGATACAGGGGCAGCATAAGAACTGAATGAAGATTTAATTATACCTGCATTTAACAACTTGTCTATTTGTTTCTTAATTTCACTATTAGGAGATGCTATGTATGTTCTACAAATAGGTAATTCTGAAGTTAAAATTACTCGTGGAGGTTCAATATTGATACATCCTACATCATATTTGATTTTATAATATATAATTATAGTTACTTCCCAATTTTCGCAACTGTCATTAACAGTTTCATTTTTTTCAGTATGATTAGCATAATTCTTGGTACTTACAACTATCTTCACATACAAAATTATTTTGAAGACGTTTATCTGACTGAATATCTTTACTTATTATATGTTTAAACTGATATACTTCATAATTATTAAAATTCAATTGAAATAAGTAAAGAAACACAAGATGATGATAATAATAAATATGTTAGACTAGAAGTGACAACATAAAATACTATGTTATTAGTAAGTCTGCCTATTTTACATCATAATTTAGTTACTTTGGTCATAGAAAGACCTACAGATAGTGATAATAATTTTGCGTTAGGATTGTTCTCAATAATTTGGATTTGTGCATTACAGCTTAAAGTAGTTTCAGAAATTACATTTATTTGACTGCCTGTGTCAATTATGCCAGGAAGATTTTGTTTTCCCATTTGATAATTTACTTTAACTCCACGCCTAATTTTGAGGTGCATACTGTTTAGGGTAAAATGGCCTTGGAGTAAGATTTCTAAGATGATAAAATTTTTGTTGTAAATTTTGCCTGGGATTTGAAAACCTAGGTACATTATTAGTATTCTCTGATTTTCCCTGCGAACTTGAGGTAGGAAATAGCTTACGCGCTAAAAAAAATCCACTCTTGCAAAGAATTAATATTCTGGATAACATCCTTTGCTGTTCTGGCTTCAGTTAATGTTTAAAATACTTATCTATTGGGAATCCGAAACTTGACTATCAAAAATTGGAAAATCTCTAAGTTTCTCTAAGTTTACGGAAGCTGTTTCGGGTTTGCTGAAAGACATTTTTGCTTGAGAACGCGTTTTGCATAGAGAAATTTCAGTTATAATTTTTGTTAATCAGACATCAGTACTTGATTCTGATTATTAACAATATCATTACGATTGGAGAAAGCAGAAGGGAAGTAATAATTTAGCACGCAGTTGAAGCATTAATTTAAATCCTATACTGGCGAAAAGAAATTTTAATTTATTCGTAAAACAGCCGAATGAAGCTACACATTTCGGTGACCTTCAGAGCATCAAAATGATTTGAAACGTTGGCACTCTGAAAACACTCGTCAAATAATTTTATTATAAACAGACGCTGGATTAATTTTGAACGTCTGGTACAAGGTTTCATTTTTAAGCACTCGCAGCAAATCTATGATATCATCTAGTAACCTATGATAAAATTTTATAAATTAGTTCAATTTAGCCCAAAGGGGAAATTTGCCCAGAAGGGCTATTGATTTCTTTTTGCCATTTTGCGTTGGTTCACTATAAACAGCGTTTCACTTTTCTAATTGTTGCCACCAAATATTAGAGCCCTGCTTATAGTTAAAGAAATTAAATAACGAAGAATTTGCACGAATGCATGCAAGTTTCTCGCACTGTGAAACAGCAACTGTAACTAGATACATCAAATTTTGAATAACGTAGTCCTCCACTCGAATATGGACATCCGGAAGCCCAAATTTGGATTTTTTTTATTATATAGTTCATATTTTGTAAAACTTTAATGAATTTTTGATTAACAAACTCAACTATTTTAAAGCGAGCAATGGCAATACAGTACGAGGAAAAAAAAATCACAAAAAAACTTTCAGATTTTACATTACGCCCAAAGGGACATTTTTTACCTTTACTTATTAAATATCATGTTCTTCGCAGTTAAACCATAAAATTCAATTCAACAGCAATATCACAAAATATTTAAAACAGCATATCTTTAGAAATTCCGATACACAGTCTCTCGCGCTGGAGCTAATTTTTTATTTTTTTCCGTATAGTGTTGCCATTGCTCACGTTGAAATCGATGAGTTTGTTAATCAAATACTCTTTAATGTTGGACAAAATATGAAATAGATAATAAAACAAATTGCAAATTAGTGCTTCCAGATGCCCATATTTGGTAGAAGATTACGTTATTCAAAAAATTTGATGGCTCTAGGTGCCGTTGTTTTATCACAATGCGAGAAACATACGAATACAGATTCCTCATTTTTAAATTTCTTTAAATAAAACACAGGGCTATAATATTTAATGGCAACAATTTGAAAAGTGAAACGGACATTTAAAGTTTAGAACGCAAAATGCCAAAACGAAACTAATAGCCCTTCTGGGCTAACGCCGTTTGGGCTTAAAAAAAAAAAAAAATATTACATGATACTCACCCAGACATATTTCAGAAACGTGGCTCTGTTGTAAACTTTTCTGCTGCTCCTTGGGAAACGCCAAAGAATTTTCATCCATGAGATATTTAATTTTGTATTTATTTTGCTGTAGTGTTTTGTTTTTGTTTCACTTTTTATTTTTGTTTTAAACTATTGGTTTTCCCTCCTGTTAGTAAGTTTGGGACTATTGAAAGATTTAATTTGTGTTAATTATCTCGTGATTATACATATACATATATATATCAAAATAAATTAAATTAGCATGCTTTTTGGGATACCCTGTATATAACACGCAAAAGTTTCGTAAACGTGTTCGCAGTAATACATCCTGGAATACATTTCTGAGCAGCAATGGAGAAGACATGTCTGAAGTAACTGGACATTTACAATTTAATACTATAAATAAGTGGTCAAAGACATTCTGTTTCACACGAATAATTTGATTTTGTTATACTTTATTTTCATTAACACAAAAATTGCTATCATTATATTTCTTTCTGCAAATAATAAAACATTTTCAAATTTATAGTATATAGATTCAATTAATTAACTTCCTTCTGCTTTTTCTTCAGTACTCTCACTTTTGCTTTGGTTTCAGCCGCATATTCTTGGCCAGATTTATTTTCTGATGGCCCATATTGGTAATTTTCAGCAGCAGAAGAACGATATTTTACATCCAAACTGTTTAAATACTGATCTTGGAAAGGTGTATCTATGAGTAATAATACAGCTTCTTCTTTCATTATTTCAGCAGTATTCTAGGTCAAAGAAAATTCAGTTACACATTAAAAATACAGTTCACATATTAAAAATGCTACATTGGGTAATCAACTTAGACATTGACTTAATGACTCAGCTTAGTTTCATGAATTAAATTTAAATTTAGACATGAATGCATGGATTTGTATAAGTTTTGTTAAAAGCACTCATTAATAAGATAAAAAGTACCGATCTGAACGCGTTGAAGAAGATGAAAATTTCACGAATATTTTAAAAATTTTCAGAACCGGGCGTAAAAAGGTTCAAAGAAAAACCGCGATGGAAATACTATACATATATATATATATGAGATAATCAAAGCAAAGGAAATGACGGAACACTGTAGATGCGTGATTAGACCCATATTGAAGAAGATTTTGATTGCGTAGTCTTTAAAGAACTTGGCAGTCGAGGCAGTTTCAATTCCATTTTTATTTCCAATTGATATTTGTGGCCACAATCACTTGGCACTCTAGTCGTGCCTTTCCACAGAAGATTTACATTTTTGATATTGTTGAGATAGAAAGCAAGCCAGCGAAATTACATCTTAGCACAGTAGCGAGCAAAAGCTGAAGTGCGTCGTTTATGAAAGATGGAAGCACGCGAAGAGAAAAGTTTTGGTTTACAATTCGGTGATTGGTTGTCAAGAGGCATCTGGTATTAACGGTTACGTAAGATCGCATGATTAATTTGAATGACGCAATGCAGATACGTTATTACGATTTTAGAATAGAGAGGAAGAATTAATGTTTATAGTTATATTATAATTCTGATTCATATATTTTTATCTTACATATATATATGTAAAATAAAAAAAATACGATGGCTTTGCTCTACGCGAACAGGCACCTCTACTTAAATTTCCTCAATTTCAGGATCTCTCCCCCCCCCCAAACCAGTATTTTCGAGAACATTCGAGCATATTACGTAACCGCTCTTTTTTGCTACTGCTCTGTCTTTCTTTGTTTGAATAATATGACGCAATAAATTTAAAGTTAATCGTATTCAGTCTAAATTACTATCGCATATGTAATCTTGAATGATCTGCTATTTACATTGAATAAAAATGTGGAGCTAAAAAGTTAAATTCTTCTGTGTCGTCATTGTATTACACTCAGCCACAACAATGTCCAGAATTCTGATGTGACCAGACTGCCAAGCTTCACTCATGTGCCCGACTGCCACAATGTTACATATATACACTGCCCTCCAAAAGTTAAGGAATAGCACGTTTTTCAAAGCTCATGATTACAAAAATATCAGTAACATTTAAATTCACAACTTATATGCACGATAGTAACAAAGTTTAAGAAAATGTATGCAAAAACAATAGCTAGCACTTTTATTTTATAGAAATGAATACTTATGCAAAAATTGGAGAAAAAAATGCAAAAATTGTAAGTTTTATTCACGAGTGTTCATATTTGAGTAGACCTTCAAAAGTCAAAATTTGAAAAGAATATATGATTTATATAGGTCAGCTGAATAGTTGAATTATATGATGAAAAGAATATATGATTTATATAGGTCAGTTGAATTATATGATGAAAAGAATATATGATTTATATAGGTCAGTTGAATAGTTGAATAGTGAAAAGAATCTAAGATTTATACAGTATTAAAAAGAACAGTTGTGCGATTAACTATATCTTGAATGTGTAAGCATTTCTCAGTGGTAAAAAATTCTTCAACTAAAGTAAACCGCAATAATTTTAAATGACATTAAAATTTCTAGTTAAAGCACATGAAACGTAAAACTGGTAAAGCCATATACGGGTCCTATAGGGAAAATAGGTCAGTGAGAGAATTTTTTTTTTTTTTTTTTGCCGTAGTTGAATGAATATCTCAAATAAAACAATACATCCTCATGCACCGAAAATAATCGAAATCTTAAATAAAATGCTTGGAGACCGTACACAAATGTTGCTAAAAGCATTTGCGCATTTTTAATTCTAGTATGCAAAATTCCTAAATAGAATTCCTAAATCTAGTTTCACTATAGCTCAGAAAACCATTAATTTAGAAGCATGGATTTCAAATTCTTGTTTCACGAAATGCTAAAGTCTAAACTTTCAAACCGCAACAATTTTTGATGACATTAAAATTTCTAGTAAAAGCACATGATAAGAGATGATAAAAAATAATAAAATAAGATAAATAAGATAAGATTAAAAAATAATGAATTAAGATAAATTATTGGTTTATTTTGGTTTATGTGAATACGGCAAAGCCTCGAGGACTATATGCCTAAGGGGATGGATGCCTTCGTGGAGGACTTTCTAAGAGAAACTGGTCGTATACATGTTACGCCATGGGAAAAACCACGAAAACGGCTGTGCAGCCAGCCCGTTTGCATGTTTCGGACCTCGGACCGAACTGCCAGTGCTCAGCGACTTTACTGCTCGGCCACTGGTTGGGCCTAAGATAAATTAACTGAGGTAAAAAATAATAAATTAAAATAAATTAAAGGTAAGATTAAAAATAATAAATATGATAAGATAATTTCTAGTAAAAACACATGATAAGATAAATATTTGTGTTGTCAACTAACGATAAACGACAGTGATTATTAAAATGGCCTCAGATTTAACATATTGAAAGGCAACCATGAAATAAAAAAAATAAAAAATAAAAAAAAAACACTTTAACCCGTTGTTGTTGACCCGCGTAACCCGGCAGGCTGTGTACCCGTCTTTGTATAAGGCAAATGTACGAATAGTGCAGGTTAAGCGAAACGTATGTTCAAGTGCCGTTAGGCAAAGGGAAGCAGAGTTGAACAACACACTTTATTTATTTGTTTAATGTAAGAGTTTGTTTATTTGTTCCGTTTGTTATTCTACATGAGGAACCCTAAAAGGATACATGATACAGAGATACTGACCCGTCATAAAGTTCCCAATGAATTTCGCATTTCTCTATATTTTTTACAGGGTAAAAGTGCTTTGTATACAAGTTCAAATCTACAGTTTTGTATATTACAGATTTCGTTCTCTTCCTGGAGAAGATAGATCTAGTATCCAACCACTCTGAGTTATTGAACATACGAAATTGGAAGACATACTACACGGCAACATAAAATTTTAAATTAGGCAAAAAAGCAATCTTAGTTTAAACCTTAGGAAAATTGCTTTTGCTCCTGAAGAATAGGAATCTGTGTCTGATCTCCCTCAAAATCGATAGAGTTTTACTTTCTGACAAATTTTAAATTATTGAAAACAGATGAAAGTCTTCTGTTGAATAATCTATTACGCTATTATTAATCACGCTTTCAGAAAACAAAACCGTTGAATAGAGTGAAATGGATAAAAATGAAAAATTTATGAAAGAATGGTGTTTACAAATACCGAACATAGTTATAAACTCTTCGCTCTATTGTGCGAACATTAATTATTCAAAGTGTGTTGAATTCATCCGTAACAACAGAAACGAAGAGTGACAAAGAAGATAATTCAACCATTCAACCAAGATAATTTATCGTAAGGCTAGTGAAGTTTTAACTGTGAAATTCGCAGTTAAAAAAAGGAGTATATTTTATTTTAAAAAAATAATTTTTTTCGGAATGATATAAAAAAATTAGTGGAATCTATGTGGCAAGTGGATACTTGAATTCTTTTCAGAAAGATTTCATGCATTGAAAATATCGATGAATTCAAAGAAAAACCTGACTAAATATAATTAAGCTACGAAAAAAATTATTTACTAAGTAGTTAGAGGGGAGCAAAGGAGCGGTCCGCCCCGGATGGTACAATTTTTAGGGCGGAATTTTTTGCATGAATCATTATTTTACGTGGAATAGTCATGTGGATCGTCAAATTCGGATCGTGGATTCGGAGATTCTGAATTGCATACCGAATTTAATTCAGAAAAAATATAGTTTTTACTCGAGGTAAATTATTCAAAGAAATCATCGCGATATTTCAACACATACATACCCTTATACTTTTTTACTGAGTCGAAACTTTTGAACAAAAATTATGAAAATCAAATAAAGTATGATCATAGTGGCATTAATAGGAAAGAATTTCTTGTTAACAGAAAAGTATTTCAAAAGTTTTACCTCCGTTATTGTAAGAGAAGCTAAACAGAAACATAGAAGGACAGTCTTTTTGAATTTTTGCAGTTTATTTCAAAATATAATCTCCAGAATAAAGTTTCTGTTGCGAACTTTCCTCACAATTGTTATAAGCACTACTAGTTGTGAGAGGAATTTTCTAAATAAAAATCAGTTAGAAAGTATTTAACAACTATAAATGTTTATTTAGTCTTTATCAATATATCTCTATCTCTGGAGCAATCAAGTAAATCTCAGTAATGTCATTGACGATTCTGAGAGGCAAAATTTTAAAACATTGCAATAAAAAATTTTCTTAAAAAATAAAGAGCATTTAAATTTATTTCTCCATATGTCATTTTGCAATTTTTTTAGTTACTAAGAGGAGCGGCAAATTCAGAGACCGCACCAGACAGCAAACTCAGAGGCCGCCACGGGCGGCAAAAGCTCTACCCAGCCCCTGTTAATAAGCCTTATTTATTACGTATATTTTCAAAATTACGATATGCAGTCTTTCTCACTCTTGAATTCATTCAGTATCTCGAAAACAAAAACCGTTTTGCTACATTATGCAATCTTAGTCCGATAAATAGGCCTAAACGAAGCCCCAAATGCGCTTGGATGATCGAACCTTTGCTGTAAGTTATTTCTCCTTTGACTTACTTATCCATGTTTCAAAGAAAGCTCTCATACTTTCTCAAGAAATCGTTCTTTTGTTATTGGTAGCATTTTCAAATTGTACATAGAGATATAACAAGGAGGATATAGGCTATCTCAGTATGATTTAGAGTGAATCGACTGAAGAGATAAATAGACAATGGAGTCCTCTAACTGTACTGGTTTGTTGCTTCCTTCATGTGGCATTTGGTAACATGTTTCATCTCGACTTTTACTTGCTCTTTGTGCTTCTTTCAATGGTGTAGAAGTGGTGTTAGCACCGAAGGACTC